GAGAGAGAGAGAGAGAGAGAGAGAGAGAGAGAGAGAGAGAGTTCTTCTTCCTCTTCTCAGTCCACCATCTCCCTCTCACCCTCTCGCTACCTGACTTCACTGCATCAGCAGACTACGAGAGAGAGCGGGATTGGTGACATTGGGCTTCAGACATTTGACGAGGGATTATCTGGGACTTGTACCGAAGACTTGGTGTTAACGACATTCCCATCTTCCCCCTCTTCTTCGTCTGATCCCCTCCTCTTTGTCTGTGTATGGTCTGGACCTGGCACATTCTTCCTGTGTGTAGCGCCAGGCCCCTTCACACATTGCGATGGGGATGATGTATGTTTGGTCTGCATTGCGACATTGATTGGGCTAGTCATGGGTATTCTAGCATCCCGCTGTGCTGTCTTGTACTACGTGAGAGAGGTCAGTCCCGGTCAGGTCAGGGCTTATATCTAAGGCTTCCACTGCGCTACAAAGTGCCATTTTGTATGTATCAGGATGTACATCGCTTGTTGAGATTCAACTAACATCGCATTGTCCATTCAGTCCTTTTTATCACATTGCGGATCCTTGGCTTTACATACATTGCCCAACTGGGCATGTAACAAGTACCTGCAGCAAGGCAGCCCCTTTTCGCGGTCATTATCTGGTATCAGCAGAGAAAGAGGGAGAGAAAGGACTCTTCTCCTTCTTCTTTTCTCCTCCGGTCCTCCTCCATCCTCCATCGCTCAGTCTTCTATTTCCTTCTGGTTATATGAGAGAGAGAGAGAGAGAGAGAGAGAGAGAGAGAGAGAGAGAGAGAGAGAGAGAGAGAGAGAGAGAGAGTTGACATTGAGACTTGGTGGCATTTGGGCATTGCGCAGTTCAGTGACATTACGACCTTACATTGTATGAGCAGTGACATTGGGGATACATTGGAGACTGGGTTCATCGGGCTCTATGGTGGCTGATCCTCCCTCTCTCCTTCTTCCCCTCCGTCCCCCCTCACTCTTTCTGAGTGATGATGTATGCTGTCAAGTCCTGTCATTGTCCATGCTGAGTCGGATGTTGGTATTACAGTCTTCCGCTGTGCTATTTTTGTATTGCCTCTGAGAGGTCGGTTCTCGGTTCTGATCGATGCCGATTAGGCATGCACCAGTTTAGGATGTGTTGGAATAGGGCTTATTAGGGATTAGGACCTCTGGTGTGGTTTAGGGGCCGTGATATGTCGGTTGAGGGCTTAGGATTTCTGGTATGCCTTTGGCTCGGGATGTAGTCGTTTACGGTTTAGTCAACTTTGACGTTGAGTGGTTGTGGCCAGATTTCTAGGAGAGACGGTTCAGGAAGAAGCGGTTTGGAAATGAGCCCCTCTTAACACACTGAAGTCTGTGTTCGCTGTTGGTGTTTGTGTTTGGCTCGGGATGTAGTGGTTTAGGGTTTAATAATGTTGAGTCGTTGGTGAAGCGTTTGGAAATCGAGACCCCCTCTCTGAGCACACCGAAGTCTGTTCGCTGTTGGTGTTTGTGTGTGACTGTGATTTCGTATACAAGAAGTGTGTGACGAGCCATTGTTAAAAAATTAAAAAGTTGACCTTCATTCCTAAGTTCCTAATAATGCCTCTTTTGTAAAAAAGAAATTATATAAATAATAAATAAATAATACTTATTAATAAATTTATTAATAAATAAATAAATAAATAAAGTCTCTTTCCTCTTCTGCGCTGGCAGGATCGTTTCAGAGACGGGTTCGTCAAAAGGCCCAATTGTCAAGCTGGGACTGAACGTTCGATGCACCTTCGATGAGCAGTTGAAGATCCTAAGTTAAAGGTGCTGACGCAGCAGAAGGATATCAAAGCAAGAGGCCTGCAGGCACACAGAAGTAATGGGAGGGGTAAGTAAGTAAAAGCAATGAATAAGCATTTCCTCTTTTTAGGGTTTAGGGAGGTGAGGGTGACTAGGCGAGAGAGGGGGAGAAGGGGCGGAAGAGGTGGTAGGTACTAATTGTGCTCTCTGGGATGCATCTTGATTGTTGTAGGGCTGGCACCAGAAAAGCCCCACCTTATCTGGACTGCCCCCTTACCTTTTTTTTTTTTTTTTTTTTTTTTTTTTCCCTTAACTTCTTAAACTCCTGCTTTATCCATTACCTTACTGTGTATTACCCTGTTCGCCCTTACCCTCTAACCCTGAGCCCGATCTAGCCCAATCGAGGGCAATCAAGCCCAATCAAGCCCAATCGAGCCCAGTTGAGCTCAATCGAGCCCGATTGAGCCTGATCGAGCCTGATCGAGCCCGATCGAGCCCAATCGAGCCCAATCGAGCCACAATCTAGCCCAATCAAGCCCGATCGAGCTCGATCAAGCTCAATCAAACCCGATTGGTATCAAGCCGGATCGAGCTCGATCGAGCTCAATCAAACCTGATTAAGTCCAATCAAGCCCAACTAAGCCTAATCAAGCCCGACCTAATCACCCCAATCCGGTCAGGCCCAATTATTAGCTTGACTCACTGTACACACCGACATACGTATACACGCAGGCAAAGAAGAAACAGGCAATCTATTCCCTGCATGGGTCCAGATGAAGTACAGATAGAGAAAGTGGGGGCAATTATTGGAGAACCAGAGGCCAAGGAGAAACAGGGAGAGGTCTAGTAAGGGAAGGGAGCTGCTGTCTTGCTGCTTATTTTTTCCCAATTAAGATCCTTTCACGAGAATGTCATTGATCCATGCTAACCCTTTGTGCACTCTCTACTTACCTTTTTATCCCTGATTATCCCCTTGCAGCTTACATTTAAGAGGGACGAAGGGACGGCCAATGTGGTGCCTTTCAAAATATCTTTCCAGGTTTTCGAAGTGAATAGTGAAATAACTCTTCGAGTGTGAGGGAAATCTTATGTGTTTGGCAGTGTGGGGGTCTTTTCGACCAACAGGTGGTTAACAGGTGGGTTGCTCTAGGGGTTTGTCTCCCCCATCCTTTGTGTTTTGTTTTTCCCTTCTCTCGGAATAGGTGGATGATCTCTAACATAATTTTATCCGACAGGATTGAACTCTTAACCTTACTGATCAGCAATGCTGTCCATGTACATACCACTCAGCTGCTGCCTGGTACATTGCTTCCTTATCTACCACTCAGCTCCTGACCAGGCACATACATAGCTGCCTCATCTCACACATAAAAAGGAGGACGACTTTCTCCGACAAGGCTTTTCATCTGCGGCAAATTTTTTTAACAGGACAAAAAACAAAGTGAACTAACGCATACACCACTTGGGACTCTGGCTTCGAATCCAATCCTGGTTTCAGCTTGAGTCCTGGTTCCAGTCCTGGTTTTTTCAGTCCTGGTTTTGGTCCTGATTTGGGTCCTGGTTTCGGTCCTGGTTTCGGTCCTGGTCCTGGTTTTGGTCCTGGTTTCGGTTTTGGTCCTGGTTTTGGTCCTGGTTTTGGACCTGGTTTTGGTCCTGGTCTTGGTCCTGGTTTTGGTCCTGGTTTTGGTCCTGGTTTTGGTCCTGGTCCTGGTTTCGGTTTTGGTCCTGGCTCAGGTCCTGGTTTTGGTCCTGGCTTCAGCTCTACTTTGGATCTTAGCACCCAAAGGCTGTCTGCGCGATGCTGAGTTGCAAGTATTCGGAGTTTCCTTGGGTCGCGGCTGTCTACTTTCCTGTTCTCGATTGAGCTACAGTTTGGGTCCCTGTCTCAGGGTGTGAGATTCCACTGCCTTGGAATTTCTGTTCTTGTCTCAGCGAGAAATGCGCAACGGACGGACGGAAGAAAGCGTGAGTGTGTTTCATGATGTAATATTTTATTCCGACTTGCTGGCTGTGTTGCACCCCCTGACGGTCGGCGGCCCTTGACTGGTTGGCTGCCGACCCGCCGACCGATCGGCTGGTTGGCACCTACCGGTCGGGGGATCGTCGGC